TTCTGGGGGAGTATAATAGTACGTGGCAGCTGAAAGCATTACCCCTAGAGCAGCTCCCTGGCTCATTCCTGGCTCATGAGGGAGGGTGCAACACCCTCCTACTTACAGTCAGGCTGCCTGCCCCTCAGCCAGGCTATTAAAAAACACATCACAGCTTTTGGAAGGTGTTCTTTGTAAGGTGGACCAACAGGTAGCTTAAGAAGTACACTCATACCCTGGTATAAGAATGTTCAGTATACAAATTTTCGCTAATCCGAACATGAAGAATTGGATACCTTGTAATTCATTCTAAGAATGAAATTTCGCTTACCCGAACGTTGAAGTTCATGTTCAGAGTGGTTTTTTGTGTTTGTTTTGTAGTTGCTGTTCATTATGGGGTCTTAAGGAAGAGAAAAAGATTATTTAGCCTAACAGTCAACAACAGTATGCGCATTGTGCTCGCCCATCGCTTGGATAGCAATCTTTTACGAAAGATTGAAAAATGTAAATATTATATCAATTATTTCACAGCGATAGCTGGCTGATTTGAGCAGGACTGCGTTGTTCACTAAGCTTGCTATAATGGCCTGTATGGTATTATATGATCAGGGTGGTTTTTGAGTGAATTTGTCATCGGTTCAGGATGGGGTGGAATTTTCCCCTTAACAAATAATGGGATTTTATTTTCGATTTATAATTTCCCACCTTCCGAACAGATTCTCAGGAATGAATTAGGTTTGGATCCCGGGATAAGAGTGTACATCTTTTAGGGTCCTGGCATCTTTTTAACTGCATGTCTGAGGCTGGGCTAACTTGGACGTTAATTCACCAAAAGCAGAATTGTTTACAAGTAGGAACATACGAACGTTTCTAAACGAGAGGAGCCATTTGGCCCATTGAGCCCCGTTTGGTAGTGATAGTCGTTCATAGATCTCAGGATCCCATCCAGCTGTTTCTTGAAGGAAGTTGGGGTCTTTGTGACTTCCTCCTGTTCTCAGTTTTAGCCCTTCTAGAACTTTGGATTCATTTCACCTTGTGGGTTCGGCCAGTCTATGTCATTTTCTTGTTTCAGAAAAAGAATTTGTAATTCCTGTGTCTTCCTTCCTGTTCTCCGCAGTACATAGTTTCTGGGATTCTCTCTATTTTGGCCAAGAAGAAAGTCACCCCTTGCCTGGTAAGTGAGAGAGGTACTCACCCCTGTTTATTACGAACCCCTCTTTCATTGACCATCCCTAATTAATTAGCAGTGAGAATCGGTCATTAATTCCTAACTTGGACTGGGGGATTCAAGAGCTGGAATGTTAAAACTTTGACCTGGCCCGAAAGAGAAGGTAAGTTTAACATCTCTCCACACTGGGCCAGTCATCCTGTGACAGCTTGGGCACTTTTCAAACTCTTGGAAGCGCATCTCCAGATGCACTCTGGTCATGATCTGTAGCATGAAGAGGCTTGAGTGGGGACCTGCCCAGGCTGTGAAGGAACAGGGGGAGGCTAAGTCTACTCCGGCCTGTGGAGGAATGTCAGAGCAGGACAAGGAGAAGGAAAGAGAAGGGCTCTGAGCAGAGTGGGAAGGGGGGGTAAAGAGCTGGAAATCCTGGGCATGGACCCCTGCAGAAATCTGCAAATCAATAGAAAGTCATCTGCTAATCATTGAGAGCTAGAGGTAGCTGGGAACCTTGTTTCAGAGTAGTCAAGAGAAGCCCAATCTATTGGAGTTAGGGGCCCTGTAGCCCTGTGACAGGATGCAGACTGAAAGCTCTCTAAGGTCAGAGATGGTTGGTGAAATGGGCAGCACATCTCCTTCCTATGCTTGATGTTGCTTGATGTGTAGTCACTTCCTCTGGGCTGTACATCCCGTTATCCCAATCGACCCATCCCTGGTGAGCCAGTAGCCCATTGGAGCTGTGAAGGATTCAGATCTCGGGCCTTCCACCTGAACCACTGCATTTCTTCCTACAGGTGAAGGCTTCGCTTGGGATGAACATCTTCAGCACCATCACAGCTGGCATCTGCATCATCATGTATTCCATGGATATGTTCATTTGGTCTTATTATGGCAACTGCTCATATTACGACCACTGCTACAATAACTATTTGTACCAGGCAAGTCTTCCTACTTTTCTGCTTTTGTGTCTTGCAAGGGAGCATGTGATCACAATAGCAGTGCTTTTACCTAAAGCTACAGATCAGGCAACATCATGGTGACCCCTCACCACAGGGTGATGGTAGCTGTGGGTTAGATCCCACCGATTGCAAACAGCTACGAACAGGAGGGTGAGCTAAAGGAGACAGCAGAGGTGTCACAGCTGGAGGTTAGGCCAGGTTACCCCAGCTGGTCTCCCTGCATGACAGCAGTGCAGACACTGGTAAGCTGGAGCCAGTTAAAGGCAGCTGAAATCTGTGATGTCCAGTCAGTCTCCCAGGAGAAATGAAGGATTCATGGAGTGAATCCCCTTCTCCTGAGATGCAAACTCCTGCTGGAATTCTGCAGGACGTTTCCTGAAAACCAGGCATTTCAAACACACCAGCAACCGTTTTGCTTTTCTTAACAGTCTGTTAAGATTATGATGCCTTTGGGCTCTCAATTACTCCACTTAACATTAACGTAGAGGAATTTGATTATTATGGCAAATGTTATGGGCATCACGGTGGCGCAGTGATTAGCATTGCTGCCTCACAGCACTGGGGCCCTGGATTCAATTTTGGACCCGGGGTGCTGTCTGTGTGGAGTTTGTATGTTGTCCCTGGGTTCATGTGGATTTGCTCCAGGTGCTCCAGTTTCTTCCCACAGTCCAAAAACACGCTGGTGGGTTAATTGGCTTCTGGGAGGACTGGACCTGGTGTGTGTTTATGTGCACCCTGCTTTAGGTTCGAGCTCCCCTGCGACCTAGCCTGCCAATGTTATGATTTTGTTGTCGTTCCAGACGAGGACTCGGGGAATACGAGGAGTGCTCCTGGTTTTCTCGATCCTAGCATTCTGCATCTCGATCTCCATCTCTGCATTCGCCTGCAAAGCAGTCTGCCATGACAGCCCACAGGTATGAAACTGCATACGGCACCTCAGTGGGTCTGACACACATCCCACATGACTTCTGGTTGTTTTATGTGAAAATGTTGAACGTCGTTGACTGACAAATAGCCAACGTAGCATCCTACCACAAAGAGAGTGACAATATTGAACCAAGTAGTTATGGACCAATAATTCTTACTTATGTTACATTTTAGATTTGCTTAAAACTCAATTAGCATGAAACTAGAGGTTCATCTATAACGCAAAAGGACACTAGGGAACAGTCAACATGGATTTCAAAAAAGGTAGATCTTGCCTAACTAACTCGTTAAAGTCCTCTCATACAAGAGTCATGCTTAAATTGCAGACTGGTGGCATTCAAGGTAATAAATGTTTCTGGTTTCTGGAGTACAGGTAAGGAGCAAATCCTTAAATTAAGGTCGGGTGATTAGTGGCATACCACAGGGCTCTGTACTAGGACCACTGCTCTCTCAAATTTGTATTAGTGATCTGTATCCAGGTGTAGGTAGTGAACTTAAACTAAGATTTGAAGACGATAACAAAATTGGAGAATTGGCAAAGTTGATTTATAAAACATTTGAGACTGGGTCAACACCTGGTAAAGGATTTTTCATGTAGACCAGTGCAGGGTGTTGCATTAAGGTAGCACAAACGAATCACAAATATAACATTGGAAAAGCTGCAAAACCGTTTAAAAAAAAACTAAGCATAAATTAAAAGACACTTACATTTTCTTAAGATATGGGTGCATACTCCCAGCCCTTAAGGGTCCAAATTGAGCCAGTTTTCTAGGTCTCTATAATCATCAACAACTAGAGACTGGACTGGAAGGGTGGCAGGTTGAGTAAGCCAGGGAAACGGACACCAGTGCACGCTGTGTTCGTGCAGGAGATTTGAAAATGGTATCCAACCTGCCTTCTACTTAAAGTGCATTGTGGATGACTTTGTAAGCTGGTTCAGTATTCCTGTGCTCATACATGTCATGCCAAAGAATAACAGAACACAGAAGAATAAAAATAATGTCATAAAGCTCCCCACGTCCTGGTCCTGGTGACCCAGTGTCCAGGTTTTCACTCCAACCAGACTCTTGGTTGCATAATTTAACCCTTTATTGCTCTCATACTGTAACTGATTAGATCTGTTTTAAAGCTTTCCGCACCTAAAAAGTCGCAGTATTCCAGCTGTGAATATTTATTTAGGATTTAAACAGTGTAAAAAAAATCTGGAAAGGAAACCAGCTGATTCTGGGGTGATCTTGTATCTAAGAACCTGGACCTCTAATCTCGGGAAGGTGTGTTACAGTCGTTTGAGGTTTTTGGACGTGGTGTACACCCAACAGCCAGTAT